TTCATGCTCAGAGCTACTTTGCATGACAGTTGTGTTTACTACTGCAATATTGGCACCTCGTGGGTGTTTTCTGATAAGCAAACAAAACAGGTAAAGCAATTGTACAACCCTAACACAGTTGTTGAATCATAGGATTTTGATACATCAAATAATTTTGATACATCAGCCATTTAAGATAGGCGGACGATTCCATCTTACATGCAAAAAGCATCAATGAACTGAAATAACTGCTGATAAAAGTGGAACGAAGGGCAGAAGCAGGACTGCAGCTGAATATTAAGAAAATAAAAGTCATGACTACGGAAGAATTCAAGAACAATGAAGAAATTGAATTGTGAAAGATTTTGCATACATTGGCTCAGTCATCAATTCAAAGGGAGACTGCAGCCAAGCAATCAGAAAGCTGAAACTTGGAAGGGCAGCAATGAAGGAACTAGAAAAAATCAAGTATAATGACATTTCACTGGAGACCAAGGCCAAGGTCATCCCCACCATTGCATTCCTGATCACAATGTATGGATGTGGAAGCTGGACAGTGGAGAAAATGGACAGAAAGAAAACTGATGCATTTGAAACATGGTACTGCAGGAGTACTTTGCAAATGACCTGGACCAACAGAAAGATGAACCAGCCAGACTTCCCCCACATAATGAGAAGGTGAATCACTGGAAAAGTCAGTCTTGCTAGGTAAAGTCAGAAAAAGACGGAAAGACCAGCTATGAGATACACTGATTCCATAAAGGAAGCTACAGCCTTGAGTTTATATGAGCTGGGCGGGGTTTCGAAGGGCAGGACATTTTGAAGGATGCTCATTCAAAAGTCAGAGAAAACTTGATGGTACATAACAAAAAAACAAACAGTTAACAATCAGCCAACTTGGGTTCCCTGTTATGCATCCATTTTTTTGGAAAAAGGTATTATAGTGCTAGTGGCAAATGACACATGAGCTGAAATGGGGCAGACAAGCTGGTTCAAGACATTTCTTAGGTGAAGGCATATTCGAAAATGCAATTACTGTCTCGAATTTGTACATGTTACAGTACAAGATCTCTGCCAGGTTATCATATTGTCTTATTCTGTGTAACTCTGGACCCTATTTAAACAGGAATGAGTAGAAATAATTTACCTCTATGGTGCTACTTGCACTTCAAGTTGCATTGAAACTGCTTCACCTTTACCACACAGCTGCTGTCCTAGCTTGGATGGGTGCTACCCTGTGTTGTCAACTGAAATCCAGGTTTAAATGAGATTCTCGTTTCAACAATGCTGCACAGATCAATTCTGGGCTTACCTGTTTATTGTTCACCATGTTAAAAAAACACTCTTAAAAAGAAAACAGAAAATAAAATCTCATTATAACAGTAAAAGAATTATAAAGAATATGAAGAAAAGATTGCAGCTGCATAAAACAGAGAAGCAGAGTTTTAAAAGGGCTTGACACAACTCCAGCACTCAGCATAGACAAGAAAAAAGAAAAAAAGCAGCCCCTGGCAAAGGGTAATGCTTTTTGACTTTTTAGGTTTTTTGGGACCAGGTGTACAAGATATTCAACAGGACTAGTGTCAGAACCAGAACGAAGGAAGAGAAAAACAATAAAATGAGGACTTGCTGTGCTAATTCTCTATTTAGAAGGGAATTTTAAAGAACCAGCCCATTCAGACCTGTTATTTCCTCCTAGCTGCAGCTTGGAATCGGAAAGTTCATTCCACCACTTTTGTCCTTCTGCATTTGGCTGCATCTATAGATGCCACTTTAGAGAACATGTATGAGAGACAGCCTACCAAAAATAATTGCTCTGCTTTTAACTGTTGGCAGTGACAGAATATTTAGGGATCTGGATAATCTGTGCCTGCCACATATCAACCCAAGGATCTTGCTTGTTACTGCTGCAACTCTGGGACAGGAAAGTCCTTGTGCTCCTGCCGAACCTTTCATCAGACCTTTCCCTACATCTTCTGTGGGACATAACCAAATTCCACTGTGTTACAATAGGCTTTGGAAGGAAGAAGGTAAGGGATTAGACCACTGGATGCAGAATCCCAGGGAGGTTAACTGTGGGATAATTTACCTTCAAGCCAAGTCTACATGCAGATTCATTATTATTTTTGCCTGCCTTTTTGTACTACCGTCTGGCTCCAAACCACATAAAAAATCTCCATATAGTCTGCCACTGCCAAAAAATAGGACTGTAACTATATTTCCATGGCCAGCAAAACAGAAAAAGTAAACAAAACATGTTTAGCAAAAAGTATTGGTTCTTTTTGTTTGTTTGTTTGCCTTGCCAAGAACATCCTGAGAGGAAAGTATTCCTTTGGATCAAGCCATGGGTGAAAAAATTATCAAAGGAGAATTGCAGACTGCTTTGGGAACAATGTCTGATGTGACTGTGTAGAATATAATTTGGCTAGAAAGCAGCAAAGAAAAATGAATTGCAAATGAGTGAGTAAAAATAAATCCTCATTCCTACTATATTTATTCACAGGAGTGCTGGAAGGAGCTCCTTTCTGAAGCTTGCTCTTCACTGTCCGTACTGGTTTTCTTTTTTATATGCACAATGGGAATTGCAGACTTTTTAATCAAGCTGCTGTAGAAAAATGTTGTTTTTATATTCACCAGGGATGACTGTAATAAATTAGAACAGCTTCCATTAGCCCTCCTCAGTACTTAGCTCAAGCACTTAAAATTGCTTTGGACGCTGCCCTTGTTTGACCTCTTCACCTTGGCTCAGATATTACTCCTTCCCTAAACACAGCAGCACTGATCGGAGTCTTCAGAGCTTGCTTTTGTGAATGAAGTCACAAATCGACTTGGGAAACCAGGAGAGGATCGTGGTAGTGAAATGAAATTATGAAAATAAAGCACCATCAGAGTTGTAGGACTATTTGTGATCTGTTTTGCTGAATCTTGTGACAGAGGCTTCTGCCCAGGGAACTGCGCTGAATGTGGCACAAATATGTAACTTTGACATTTATCCTATGCCTAAATATGAAAGGCAGCTCACAATCAGGTTAACGTAATCTGCAATACTTTAAAAAAGGTCAATAAATCAGTTTCAAAGGACTAAAAGGCATATAGAACAAAATAATTTTTAAAGGGTACTCTGCAAAACCTGACTAAATTGCCTGGCTAAAAGCAAATGCTGATGGGGCAGATGGACCTCCCTTAGGAGGCTAATCGAAATAATGAATGCATCTGGGGAAAAAAACCTGTCTCTAGGTGCTCACCCACAGCAGGACCTCAGAAGAACAACCAAGTTGACAGGCAGGCTCAAACAAAGGCATTTTTCATGCCTACATCCTATTTTGTTTAGGGCTGTAGAAGTCCAGCAAGCTGCTTGAACTCAGCTTCGACACAGACAGGTAACTAGCAAATCTCTGAATAGAGCAGCAGCCCTGTGATTTGATGGATTGGCTCCAATGAGTCAAAGATCCAGCTGTGGCTTTTTGAAGCAACTGAACTTTTTGCACTGTCTCCAGGCACTCCCACCTATAGCACATTAAGTTATTCTAATCTGAGGTTCATCCTGACCCTCATTCCTCCCTCTGACCATCACCAGTCCCAGGGTGTTTCCTTTGCAAAGCACTCTTTATTCTTTCTAAATGCAAATCATCCAGACAAGTTTCTGAGCATATGGAAAGTGGTAAGTTCAACCAATCTAGTGATCCCTTCCCAAAACTCTCTGTATGAGCATGTTTGTGTCCCAACACTTGGCAAAGGATGCTGTGGAAGTGAGCATGCCTCTGTTCCACACTCTTCTCATCCAATTAGACTTCTTGCTTCTGCTGATAACTGGCCACAGGACCAGCACCAAAGGGAGGGACTGACCTCCATTTAAGGATTGCCCAGTCTCAGCAGCCTCTCCCACGGGCTGCAACGCCACACTGCTCCTAGGGTCAGCCCTTGGGCTAATTTCCACCTCCATCTCCTCCTGTTGCCTCTCAGGACCTTGACCAACCCCCTGCTCCTCAGTCTCATCAAAATACTCAGTTTCTTCTTCTGAATCTGAATCAACTGAAGTGGCATGACCAGCTTCCTGCAGGAATGCCTTCCTGAGCCCGCCGTCACACTTGCTCTCACACTTGATGACTGGAATATGAAGGACTGAAACCGGATCTGGTTTTGTGTATATTGCATACACCAGGCAAATACAGATGGATCTGCCTGTATGTTTCACTGTTGGTAAAATGAGGATTTTAATACAGCCATTGTCCTTCTTTCTGGCCATCAGAAGCAGCAACACATAGGTTGTCAACTGCTTTCAAGAATGCCAGGCAATTAACTGTCTTGTTTTTAATCAGCATAAATCAGTAACTTAGAGTTCGTCACAGTGGAACACTGGGATCAGCACGTTCTGGCAGGCCTTGATCACCAGCCATTACCTGTGGTAGCCCTATCCCATGAGACCACGATCACAGGTAATCAACTTGGGATGCATGGAGGAAGGGCTCAGGTTTTTATTCAATCCTGAGTTGAGATGCCATATCATGACATTTATCTCTGTCTCCACACAACTTCTAGAGGAGTTGGTGGAATTATTCTCTCTTCATGCTGAGCATTGGAAGCAGCATCTTGCTGATCCCAACTAAATTTAAAGGCTGAGTCTTTCTTTCCCTCCTGATCTCTGTGTGTGCCAGAAGACTTATGGAGGGGCCTCTAACTGGCACAAAGCAAGTGATCATTCCTCTTCCATGTTCCCTGAGTGTGAACATACCATGCTGTGTCCATTCTCAACTATGACTGCCAGAAAGAGACTTCTGGATGTTGGTAACAACCAAGCACTTTTGACACAGAATGCCTTACAGAGGTGCCTCCAGATATAGTTAGACCTATAGTTCCTCTCTTGTACATCTGGGCACATGGACTGCCTCCCTAGAAAACTATGAAGCTTTGAGGTCTGAGATGATGGCATTTGATCTGTGGAGCAGGTTCCAGAGAAACAAGCCAGCAGTTTTTCCAAACGGTGGTTCAAGCCAGTCCAAGAACATGGTGGTCAGCACTGGCATCTCCTTTCATCAGTGCTCAGAGAAAGTATAGCTCAGACTGTTGGCTTCTGAAGACAGGCACAGTTCGGCAATGTGAGTAAGGGCATGCATGTGTTTACACAATGAACTTCCCAGAAGCATTTTCCAGATGAATATTGAAAATAAAGAATGTTTGACTGGATGGAACTGTGGTGTGTTCCAGCAAGGCTCTTCTGAAGTCAGTACTCCATCTAGCAGTCATGGAGCAAATTCTGGGAACAGGTTGGATCTGGAAAGTGACCACAGATTAGCAGCAGAGGACAGGCTTTGCTTGCAAAGGTCCCAGGTTCCACTCTCAGTGTCTCCAATTTTGGCTTTGTTTTTTTAAAAAGGATCAGGTAGCAGGTGATGGTGAAGTCCTCAGCCTGAGACAGCCTGAAAAGCACTTCAGATCAGACTATACAATACTGGGCAAATAGTCTGACCTGGCAGAAGGCAGCTTCCTATCTACAGGAAGGCAGCTTCCTCTTGTATTAACAATTTGATACACGTGTGTGTGTGTGTGTGTGCGCGCGCGCGCGCACATGTGCGCGCACACTCAGGCTACCTGGAAACTCTGCTTCCTATGGAGTGTAGTTAGTTAGGAATGTAATCACTTTGTGTGTGCTCGAACAATGTAGTGATTGAAGGAAAGGTGCTCCATGTAAGGGAGTAATGTCTGCAAACTGGTTTCTCCATGGATTGACTGGATGTCATTTACCAACAATGCTATCCCTTGGTCAAGCCCCAGTGGCACACAAATGCTTTCTAGTAGTAGCATCGTGCAGTGAGGAAAAAGCAGGTGGAAAATGCATGCTCAGAGATCTCCTCTTTATTACTACGATGCTTACATTTAACTTTGAGCCTTCAAATAAACCGTACCCTTGAGTAAGTACTTACTTTCTAGTCATCAGAAGCAGTGATGTACCTCTCTACCTAAATGAGTAAAACAAGATTAAGAAATTAAAGCACTTTCTATATCAATGTTACAGATGTACTGAGCAAGAAGAAAGACAGTAAAAGTTTAGAGAAAGCAGGATACCCGTACACTGTATAGAAGATGCCTCTTCCATTAATATCGATACTGAGACGAACATTGAAAGCCAGTGGCTGCTAACTACCGGGCACAACTTCTGTGATTGATGGGGCCAATGGCAAACTTGTTTGAACTTGGAATGTAAGTGAGATATTATTAGGTTTTGCAACTGGCAGGTAGCAAACAGTTGTAGGCATGGTTTTGGGGTATGCTTTCGGGTATGGAAAACTAATGTTACTTCAAAGATGATCATTGCCTAACTTAGCGTGTTCTTGCTCTTCCTTGATACCCAATTTTAGTATTACAAAAAGTAGCAATTTTTCTGTACCCTCTCCCCACAAAGCACTGTAAAAGGCTACTCCTGAACTTCCTGATTCTTGGGGAAAGAGGCGTATGAAACATTAATAATAGTACTCTTAATTCAACTGTTAGTCAGGTGCTGTTGCCAAGTGATAATCCTTTACTATTCCTGTTCTCTGCCAAGGCTGGCTAAGTATATGTAGAGTGTTGTAGAGTGGTGCTGGAACAGTTTACACAAAAGGTTGTTGTGACCAATTAATATTTGGTTCCATTTGATATATGCTGGACCCCTGTAATTCTGTGGGGAGACGTTGGCGTTTAGGAAGAAAACACAGTCTGCATTGTTCTCTATTTTTCTTTTAAGATGCTAAGGCTCTCTCTTAGTCCTTTAAAATATGTGAGGAGGACAGCATGCCAAATGAGGTGGTTGCCCCAGTCTTGTAGATATTCCAAGATAACCTTTCCAGATTATTTGCATCAGTATTAAAAATGCAAAGCTCCCCCTGCCACCTTGTGTGTATGCATACTTGCTTATGTTTAACCTGCAGTTCATTATACAAACCTGAACATGGCTGTAACATTTTGTGCTTTCCTGCGGACCATGAATGGTGGAGCAACCAGAACATACCGTTCCTAATGATCATAAGAGATTGACTGCCAAAACAACTTGCAAAGCTTAGCCCTGGTGAAAGAGCTATAGCTGACATTTCATAAATCAGGACACAGGTACTAACATGCTGTTAGAGACAAACGTCTTTGACATGGTAATTGTTTTCCAGAATTTAGTCCTGTAATTACTTACTGTTCTTTGGCTGCCCAACACTAGATAGTTTCATCAGCTGCAGCCGTGCTCAGTTGCATTCATGGCCGGAAAAAACAGGAATTAAACTTTCTTTCCCAATTACGACCCTGACGACATTTTAATCAGGAGACTCATTGGGGCTGTAATTGCAGCACTTTAGAAGCAACCTTTGGAAGAGGGAGGGGTGCACTGCCTATTTATAGATGGCCATTGGATTACAACAGCACACAGCATTGATATGCAGTAGCCATCAACCTGGTTCAAATGTTGCCAAGTCAGAGTTGGAAAACAGTGAAAGTACTTAAAAGGCAGGACAGTGGGGACTACTTGGAGTTCTCTTTAGGACTAATGTGTCCTTCCCAAAAGACTGGCACATTACATTAAATAAAGAGCAGCCAAGACACATTGAGGAAGGTCTGATCATTCCAGAACCTATTCAGCTACATTTCCATCTTCATAGAAGGTTTTGTTTATTTATTTAGTTTTAACCTTATATACTGCAGTGTGTAGCCCAGTTTATGGCTCTCTGGGTGATATACATTACTTTAAAACACAGTAATACAATAAAACATCCATAAAATAAAACAATATTACAATAGGATATTTATTTTTAAACCAAAATATAGAGTTTTGAATACTTAATACTATTCTTTTAATTTTGTAAGCTGTCCCCAGCCTTAATAATAATAATAATAATACAAATTATAATTAGTACCATGAGGTTTTAGGCTCTGTACAGTTGGTTGGAAAGGCAGACACATAAAATCATCTTAGCAAAGGGATGAAGGGACTTCAGTCTGCCTCTCCGGACCTATGAAATAATTCTTTTCTAGTAGACCACTCTGCAAATAGCATTTATAGGCAACCATGTAGGTCAGTGTCCCTCTGCATGGAGTCAGGAGATGATTTCAGGTCCCCTGGGTCTTAGCAACCTTTTTTCTGGAGAAGACATATGTTGCTACTCTGGTACCGGTCCCCTGCTGCCCCACTGCCATTGCTCTGTGTTAGAGCTGGCTTTTCTGTTTTCAGAAACTGAGAAAAGCTATTGCTTCGTAATCCCAACATGTATCATTACATCTGGAACACCTACCACTGACTCATTCATTCAGACTTCAAATCTCAAACTTCATGACCACAACACCTGGGCATATTTTTGGACTTTGCTACCCCCCCCCCCCCGCCCCTGATTCCATCTCCGGCTTGTGAATCACCAGTCTGATGAAGGGTTCTGGAAAACTTGAAAGCTTACACTTTTTTGTGGAATGTTGGTTGGTATATTTGGTTTTTTTGGTTTGTCAATTTTATTAAAATTCAGATTGACATTTTTATTGGATTTTAAAAGCATATTTGAACTACTTACTAACTGACTTATTTTATTTTATTTTTAACTCATATACCCCGTTTTAACAAGGTATATTAAAATGTAGCTCAATAAGTAATGACCAGATTCTGTTACTTTCCCTGCTTTGTGCATTTGCTTCTCATTAACTAAAAAGAAAGCTGGGCATTTACAATAGTGCTTGGTGCTTGCTATGTGAGGTCTTCCAGGTTCAGATGACATATATCTCCACCCAGTGGATCTGCACCCTCCTCCCATTATTTCAATTGGTATTTCTCCTACAGAGGGTTCACACCACCCGCCTGGGCCTTAAACCGACCTGCAGTTCAGATACCAGTGAGTGCCTGAGCTTATGCATGCAGCTTTACAAACCAATGGGTGTGACATGGTTGCATGCATTGCACCATTATCTTTGACGTTTGTGTGATGGGGCAGCTGAATTAAAGGGCCATCATAATTGCATAAACGACACTGGCACCACTATTGAAGGCAACAGTGTATTAAAACCTCACTCACTGGGATGCTAAGAACTCCACTTGATTTATCTGCTTATGTTGCACAAAGAATATTTAAAATCTAAGCAACACGCTTCTGAGGCTTAAAGCACAACAGTTTCATTGCAGTTGATTCATGCGTTTTACCCTGCTCTGATCTAGCAGGCTCAGCTACATGATGGTTACCTGAAACATTGCTCATTTCTCATGAAGGTAAAATTGATGAAAATGTTGTAGGGATTTTTGGGGGAATTGGTTTAGAGAGCTGACAGGAGGAAAATCAGAGAGAAAGAAAATGAAAGAAATTGTCCTTAATTGGAAAACTTGATAAAGAACATAGAAAGAACACACCATAATTCAAACAACATGAAACTATGAATTAAATACAAACTTTGTGTCCTGAACTGAATCACAAGTTCTAATCAGCCCATTTTTAAACAGTTATAAAATATGGAACATGGCCTCATAAAATTAGTCCTTAAACTACTCAAACTGCAAAACAAGTCAACATCAGTAACATCTATTTGCATGCTTTTCATTACAAGATCGTGGGTCTGTTTGCATGTAATGGTAGTATTTAGTAGCAAATCATAAATTCATTAATTAAGCCATGATTTGCAGGGATGGGTATTATGTGCCAGCTGCTTCCAGTTTACAGAAACAACTCGTAAATGCCCCATTCCTAGGTTGTTGGCATTTCATTCAGACTTAGATACTTTGGCTTATTTATATGTAAACCATCTCAGAATTAACCTAAGAACAAGCCATGCATTAACTTTGTTTTACTCATGAAAATCCAAAATGTCCATGTTTGGACATCACCCAGACAACCAAAAAATGGAGGATACATACCATATACACTGGCACATAAGGCGACTTGCATATAAAACAAGGTTGCTATTTTGGGTATTTTTTCTGTTTGTCGTATGCTATGCATATGAGACAGCCCTAATTTTTGCTCCACTGTTTTCAGTTTCACACTAGAGGCATTCAAGAAGAAAATAGTTATCTGAATGGGATGGTTAACTGGCAAACTGCACCAGCAGGGGTTGGACTCGTTGGCCTTCTTGGCTTCTTTGGACCCAACTATTCCATGATTCTTTGATATATACAGGCAGGACTTTTTTTGTCGTAGAACACACCGGAACTGTGTTCCGGCACCTTTTTTTCAATGGATTTTACAAAGTGATTTTGAACGGCATAGCAGATCCGCAGCAAACATCATTAACATAGTGCCTGCAGGCTGCTATTGTGTCTGCGATCTGCTGTCTGATAGTGAGAGATCGCTGCTTGGGACACTGCTCCTCTGCTCGCTGCTCAGCTTGGGATTGGTGTGTGTGTTTACTGCTGGTGGGGACGTGCGTTCCGGCACCTTTTTTTTTTTTTTTTTTTTTACAAAAAAAGCACTGTATACAGGTGCTTGTCAGCCAGAAGCTTCTAGACTCTTTTGACATCACATTACCATATTGTAGCTAATAGTCATGTTCCCTCTCCAGTTTGGAGTCTGACAACAGTCCACAAGGGGACTGGCTGGCTGAGCTTGGTCGGGCACCAGGGGCCAGGGGCAGCAGGGCAGGTACTGGATGTGGGGCCAGGTCTGTGACCTCGTGCAAGGTTTGTGATGCAGAACAGAATGAGTTCCTCAGGTACCATTATGAAGCTTTTAAAAATTAGTATTAATAAAAAATGAGCTTGTAAATACCCATGTCTTTAATGTAAAATGTCTTTATTATCTATCCCTTTTTTAAAAACAATGAATATAATATGATGAAAAAATTTCACCTGGTGTATAGGATGACCCTCTGATTTTTGCCTCACTATTTCCAGTCACAGGGTTCTCTTATATGCTGGTACGTATGGTAGATTTTCACTATAAATTGGAGTGGCTCACACAGTGCATGTCCCTGCAGAGTGACCCATGATGTGCTGCTGAATGCTGGCATTATATGTGACCAGGTCCAGGACTGCCATCCTATCCGCATTTATATGAAATTATTTCCTATTGAACTCACTCAGTCTTGCTGCTGATTGCATGTCTAATATATAGGTTTGCACTGTAAAACTCCAAAAATTACCCAGTGGTGGTTTTGTAATACAGTTATTAAATCCCTTATATGCATAAATCTCTAAAAGAAAATATTGTTCATAACAAATATAATACGCACTGTTCCACGGCTTGAAACAACCTTTCTCAACCTGATGCTTT